ATTATATATATATAAATATTAACTTAAATTTATATATTTTTAATTACAGTATATATATACAGTACTTTTATAACAGTTCTCATGGGTACAAAGTAGTAACGTTTCTTATATCCTGTGTGGTTTGTATGTCTACGAAAATGTTTTTACATTTACTGAGATAAATTTATGATTTTTTTAAAATATAATATACATATATATTTTTTTAAAATAAAAATTTATCTATTTATATGTCGATTCTCATTGGTAGAAAGGAGAAAATTTCTTATATTCTGTATAAGTTTGTATGTTTTTTAAACTAATTTTTAAAATATTTTTCTAATTACTGAAACAAATTTTTCGATTTTTAAAATAAAATACATACGTTAAGTGAGTATTTTATACATAATTTAAAATAATTTGCTAATATTACTAAAGAAAACTTCAATTTTATTCAAGATACACTCTAATGCATGCAAAATTTAACCTTAAAATAGCTTATATTTATTTAATTAGAGTATAATTTATAAAATTTTGTATCAAAAAATTATATTTTTTTTAAGTGAAAGGAATTGATAAATTAATTCATTTTTTAATATAGAGTAGCCTCTGAATATTGAAAAGGTGTAGAAGTGAGCCTATTAAACTTACGATAAATCCATAATATGGTATTAATTATGAATTATTAATCGTTACTTACGCCCCTAAATTAGCATATTTTATAGAAATATTCAAATTTAAACTTGTAAATTTGTAACATAAATTTAAAATCTACAAACATGAATCAATTTATACCGTTTAACTAGCTGTTTAGACACGTATATGATAATAGATAGACTAATTTTGTTAGCACGCCCAAACTGTAAATTCTAATGTGTAAACCACGTGTCCAATCGAAGAAAGAGGGCAAGATTCAAAGGGAAACATGTGTTTGACCCCAGGGCGGGACTTAAACCCTTGGCTAACAGACAAATACTCTAAGAACATACACTTCACTCTTCACTTAATGGGACACTTAACTGTATCCTCCAGATGATGTATCCTTGAGATAATTAGAGCATTCGCAGTGTTAACATATCTACATAAAACAACCTCATATTAACTGCAAATGAAGCATTCTCTATTAAAAAAAAAGTCGTGGGTTCGATCTCATTTAGTATGCATTTCTCTCTAAACTTAAATTTATATTTTAAATATAATTTATTAATATTTTAAGGTTAAAATCTCGTATTTAAGTACAAAATCAATTCGAAATTTCGGTTTAAAAATTTCTTTTTCTTAATTGACATATAATTAAAATTTAAATTCTAGTTAAAATTTGAATTTAAGATATGAATTTTGAAATAATTTAGGAATTATTTTCAATAGAAATTTTTGAAAATTTAAATGAAATTAATGCAAAAATTTAAATTATATAATTAATATTTTTAATTAATTTAGACAGTTAATAAATTTAAAAAATTCGACATAAAAATTTAAGATTAGATTTGATCTTCGGATCAAAATAAAAATTCAAAATATTGGACATTTTGAATGAAATTAATACCATAAATAATGTTATTAAATTTAAAAAAAAATTAAATAAAATTGAAAATATTTCCGTTAACTCGCATATAAATTTGTTTTCATTAAAAATTATATAATGTTTTTTTTAATGTCCTTATATAAAATTTTAAATATTAATTTTATTAAATTGATGATAATCTCTTAAAAGAGAATCATTTATTTTAAACACTTAAATAATTATTTTATAAAAATTAAAATAAATAAATAAATAAAATTTTATTAATTAAGAGGCATCACAAAGAGCATCCATTAAGAATTTTCACAAGATTTTATTTAAATATTCTGATAGCTTGTGACATTGGTTAAAGAGCTTATTTAATTTCTTTGATTTTTATTATTATTCAAGACATGTATTAAGTAAATTCTAAGTAAAAAAATAAAATCTTTTCTTCTTTCAAATGTGTGTCTATGTGTATATATTTACCTTACTCGTCTAACATTATTAATACGTCATGTCTATGCTAATCACATTTAAAACTTATTTCCTAAAGTAACTTTTATTCCTAAGCAACTTAATTATATTTCAAATTGAATTTTGGTGTTTTAGCCATCGTAAACATCTCTACAACTTCTTACTTTTACTTTAATTTAAATAAGATAACGAAAAAAACATGTGCTTCAGAAAGTCTAGCTGTTAGTACTTTAAATACACTACAAAAAACTAATTTCTGAATGATATAAATTTATTTTTAAAGTAAATTAACGCTTCCTTATTAAGAAAACGGTAATGTTAGTCAGTCAATTTAATTTTGTACTTTTAGTATAATTAAATAGCAAAAGAAGTAAGTCTATAGTATTTTTGAGTATACGTCATGTAACTCTTCACGGTTTGTTTAGCTATAACTTAATTTATTTACAGAAGTAAAAAGACATTCTTTAGTATGTTTATGTATATATTCGAACCGAATAGAGTTATTTAATAATAGAAAAACAGGTAATTTTGGGTTTATTCATAAGTAACTTTTTGAGGATTGATTTAATTTAAGTTTAATTGGGAAAATTATAATGTTATATAAAGTTTGTGCTTGCTGATAAGTAAGCTTAAGNGCTGGGAATTTTATTAATTTAAATTTAATTTTTAACTGAAATTAATGTTTAAATTTAAGAAATTATAGATGCGAAGAAATGACTAAAAGTTTATCATTCAAATTAACCACATGTTTCTAATACAGAAAGCAAGGGGAAAAAATTCATATACAGGTGATCAAATTTCGTATTTCTTACCCTCTAACTGATGAAATATGATATTTCATCAGTTAAAGAATATTTTATCAATTGTTAAAAAAGAAAAATAAAAAAAAAAGAAAATGTCGAGGCGAGGAATGTCGATTTTAAAAAGTAAAATCCAAGCAAAAAGTCGGGTTCGTTCTTGTTATGAGCTTGAGGCCGCCTACGTAGTGGCTATGATTTGAGGGGTTGTCGGCGTGTGGTCGGCAGCTTTTCGTTACGCTCCAGCAGCTTCGGTTGTCAGTCATACAACGATGGACTCGCGGTATTTATAACATTGGAGGTCATAGCCTATTCACCCCTTTGAGGTCACTGATTGACCTTTGTACTGACCTCCACCACTTAAGACCTTTCCATTGTATGATTTTTCAACTGTTTGTCAAGTGTCAGAACGGTTTTAAGCACTTACTATATCCTCTTCTTATCGATTCGAGAGGTTGCAATGCGCTCTCCATAGGTAATTTTCTGGGATGGTGGCCTTTCTGCTCAAATATTAACTTTAATAAAGATCGTATTGTTTGTTTTATTTATTATTTTTAAATATATTTTTTTCCGAATTAATTTCTAAAATTTATTTTTCATTACGGGAATCGTAGAGCGTCGAAATGGCAAATCGCTTGCAAAATTTACCTTTTTAGATAATTCGAGCGGCGCACGAAATTAAAACAAACTTAAATAGGCTAAAAGCCGATCATGAAGTGACGTAGGGATCACGTGAGAATTCCCCGCCTCGCGCGCTGACGTCACGTTCCAACAGCCCTAAGACGCAGAAGCGATGTAAGCAGACCTTTCCGAGATCGGGCAGTAAAGAGTTGGCAACAAATCCCGCCTCCCTGTTGCCATAACGACGTTTGATCGACGTGTGCCAAGCTCCTCCCCACCGTCCCAACGTCCAACAAAACAGGGGATAGTGTGACAAGCTGTGGGATCGCGGCTACCCGCTCTCCCTCAGCCGGTCGTGTAGCGGCAGAAAACAGCACTCACCGTTATCGTGTGCATGCGTTGCAAGACTGTTAGAGAGAACGTTCACCTGGCCTCTCGCAACATGTCAGCCGGCGGGACTAGGCCCAAATGTGTTCTTAGAGCCACTTAGCTCGGCCAAACGAGAACGGCAGACAACCATATCTACTACAGAACGGAGGGCACAGCGGTGTACCAAAGGGGACCGGTCGGAGGTGGTCCGGCAACCTCTCGTCTACTTGGCACTAGACTCAGCTCTCCGGACATTATGAAGATGGTGCAATGTGCGGGCTGCGACCGTCCCATTCTGGACCGTTTCCTGTTGCACGTTCTGGACCGTTCGTGGCACGCCAAGTGTGTCCAATGTTGCGAGTGCAAATGTAACCTGACCGAGAAATGCTTCTCTAGAGACGGAAAACTCTACTGCAGGAACGACTTTTTCAAGTAGGTGCCTTTCGTTACTTCGCGTGACACAATCCTCGTGAGCCACTTTCGTGACGTTACCGTTACCAAAACACGGCACACCTCGCGCGTTACTTCTCTTTTTTTTAAACATTAATATTTCGGGGGCGATGAAAACTGTTTAATTGAGCAATTTCTTCAGAAGAGGATCGTTTATTTTCATTATATTTTTAAATATAAAAATTCCTCATGTTTTTTTACTTCCTCGAAATTATATGTTTTGAAGATTCGCATATATTTCGGCGACGTTCGATGAATAAATGAGAAAGGATTGTTCCATTGTTTCAAACGTTCTTGAAGCAATTAATGATGCAAATCGAATACGTGAGAAATGTTTGTTGTGAATTTAGTATTCGATACATAATCCAAAAACCTTCAGACTTTCGACTTTTTTGAAATTCAATTGTCTTTTTGTTTTTAAAACGTCTTAGTGACCGAAATACCACATTTCGAGCACGTATCTTTACATCTCGATTAACTTCTTCAATTTGAGAGCGTGACGTCTGACTGTAAAATTGCCAATACCCATTTGGCTTAATTGATTAAAACATTGAACGACATAACATGACTCGACATTTGGCTCTTACTAAAGCAAGGGATCTTCTCTTCTTCTTCCTCCTCCTCCTCCTCCTCCTCCTCTTCCTCCTCTTCCTCCTCCTCTATACAATTAAACTTTAAATTATAACAGATATTTTTAGAAGGAACCTATAACATTCCCTTGCCAGAATGTTTTTCTATTTTCCAGCTCGGGACTCAGCCACTTTATCGGGCAAACTCAGCATTCTGCCACATACCAAACATTCCTGGTGTGTACCGCTGCCATACGGGGCCGAGAGATGATGCAAATATATACACGCCTATACATAAAAAAAACTTCTAGATGGAAATTTAAGCTTTAAAATTGAACCGAATTTTCGTATAAACTCGTAAAAGTGGTTCCACTATCGTTTATAATAGTTGCGCCAGTTTAAAAATGCCTCGACGTATGATGTATAGGTGAATAGGATTAGGGTACAATTTCGTAGGCCTTGGTAAAGTCGTAGTAGCTTCGATGCGTGCCTTCTGGTGTGAAAGTTAAAGACTTGATAAGTGGCAAAGTCTGGCGGGAAAATTGTTACATTGATCTACGACGGAGCGTTCTCTGGTGACAGAAAGCCATAAGGGATAATAAATGTTGGTTTCTTTAGTTGCACAAAATCCTTTGTTATGACAGGTGAAGGAGGGACGACTGTTTATCTAAGCGTACACGAAACAAATGAACGTATATAAGTTGAATACTTTTGAAAGTGAGTGTACTTCCCGATAATGTTAAAATGGGTTCGAATTTTTTCAGTTCCGAGTCCGAACGGGACGTAAACAAAGTCGACTTAAGATACACAACGTGAAAATTTAAGCACCTACAGCCGATATCCTAATTCATTTATTCAATATTTCATGGAGAAGATATGGATTTTATACGTGTTTCCATAATATAAGGCCATATGTTACCATTTTTTATCATTTCTTATAGAATAAATGACGTAAAAAAGTTGGCATGTTATATATAAATTTACAGGTTATAAAATGTATGAAAGATTTTTCGATTTTAATAAAGACCATCGAAAATAAATGATAAAAACAAAAATTAATTGTCGATAAAGTATTTATATTACAGAAAAATATTCCCTTACGTGTCCAACCGACTGAAAAATCGTACTAGCATATCATTGTTGTTATTACTTAACATTACCATTGACAACTATAACATCTATAAAACATATCAACGTAATATTGACAGTAGAAGGTCGTCCTACGTATTTATAATGACCCGTCTCGCGTAGATTATTTAAACTTTTAAACATGCCAAGCGTCTTTACGGCTTTTTTATAGTCAACAATTTAAAAAACATATAATTTTTACGAGGTTTGTAATATATTTTTTACGTTTTTTTTGCCACTTTTTATCACAACAATCTGTTGCTGCCCGGAAAAGTTAACGCGTGTCGAATTATGTAATGTAAATCAGAAAAGTTTTTTTTTTAAATACTTTTTACTTAAAATAATTCGAATAAGTCTAGAAATCTATACGACCATCTCACGATTAATATTTCAAGATAGCGTAAGAGCTATAGAAACGTGTGAACATACCACATACAAAACCAACGTCCTTCGAAATTCATAAGACAACCTGCTTGACTACCCTTTCCCAGAAAAACGTGAATATCTAAACATATGGCTACACCCATCTTCAAATAATCTTTTTTTCTAATAAATTCAGATTTTTTACTCTAAAAAATATCTTAATATTTGATTAAATATGTATAAATTTTGCAAAACGTAACGATTTCGGCCGTTATGGTAGAGAGATCGCAAAAATTAATCATATTACAACAATAGGTTTCCGTTAATTAATCGATTCCTAATGATATCATTTAAATTGTTTTTTTTTTCTTTCTTCTTTCTTTCTTTTTAATATCTATAAAACGTTTATTTTTTAAATATTTTTTCACCATTTTTTCGATATTTTTTCGATAGATCACAAACTAGATATTCATCTAATCGCAGATGCTATCTAATATTTGACTGAAGGAGAGCATTCGCTTCGACAGATTGATTTTAACTTGATATATTCCGTCATCTAGGAAACAAGATTATATGATAAATATCTATCAAGTTCGATTACGAAAATTGGTCAGGTTATATGCTAAATCTTTTATTTTGTTAACTTTTCTATCACTCCATTCTCTCTCTCTATATATATGCTCCTTTTAAAAATGTTATATTTATGCAAATTCTCTTATGATATTCTGTATAATATTCTTATGTTAACACGTTAACTCTACTGTTATAAGGCTATTAAATAACATTATTTAATTATAATTGCTATATTGAGTTACAAAATGCTACGTTTCTCTTAATATTCTGCTAATTAAACCTTCATTTTAATTTCATTTGTTCTTTACCAAAATTTCAGCTTAAAAATCTAATNGAGAGAGAGAGAGAGAGAGAGAGAGAGAGAGAGAGAGAAAGAGAGTAACTAAGAAAGAGAAGGATTTCGTTTGTCATATTTAGAAAATCGCAAATTGAAGTTAGAGAGGTTAAAAAACCTCACGACATGAATTGTCGTAAATGTGTCATGGCATATGTTTGTCACTTGTTAGTCTTGTTTTATTGAAGTTGATTGGATGTTCATTGTCAGGTGGTTTGTTAGTTCTAACCATAGATGTCAATCTAGGTTGAGCGCCTCTTCTCACTGCAAGTGTTCTCTCGATAATAACGGTTGACACCAAGTTTCCGCAGTTGTCAAACGCGTCACACCAGCTTAAGGGTTGCTAGATGAATGACACAATATGTTGGATCCCCTTGATTTGCGTTTTACGTATGAAGTCTCTTTAGCGACACGTCACTGATTGAAAGGTATGTCTAGGAGATTTAAAATTAATCTTTTCTCTTCCCCCTTTTTTTATATTATATATATATACTTTTCTTTACTTAAATGATATAAATAGATAAAAAAAAAAAAAAGAGAGAGAGAGAAGAGGAAGAAGAATTTTTATTGTTTACAGCCAATAAAAAAAGGGGGTAATTTTAAGGAACGTTTCTACACTTAAATACACTTTGTGCCTTAATGGAAGTTGATCCGCACTTTATACAAACGACCAGTTTTTCATTACGAAGTTGTAAAATTAACTTTAACTTTGCAGATTGTAAGAGGGAAGCGTAAAGGAAAATAATTTGCGTTTTCTTAAACAACAATCATTGACACACTGCTATAATTATCATAGTAAATTATTATTTTCCTCTTTTTTTTACCGCTTAAACCAACCGAATGAATATAAATTTAATAATTTATCTACAAAAATTTAGTAGGAGATAAACATGCGGGAGAGGTTTTTAACTCGGAGAATAACATTAAATGGGGTTAGGCTACTCGTTGCTAGTGTTGATCCAGGCAGGAGATCGCTATTGTAATACATTTCGATATAAGTGCGGAGAGTCATAATCTAGATCGATTGCGAATTAAGAGCACAGACATCATTATTGATTGAGTAACTAGGAGTTCTTATTTTTCCCTCCCATCATCGCTTAGGCTCTCTCTCTCTCTCTCTCCTTCACTCACTCACTCACTCACTCGTTCTAGCAATATTCGTGCAGACACATCAGTATTTAGAGACCCAATGGCTCCACCCTTCTTAAGCATCTTTGACCGTTTTGGCTGATCAAAAAGTTGTTAAGCAATGGTGTTGAATTCTCATCAATCATAATCTTACTTATATTCGAGAATTCGATTTGACCCCTTGCTTATTTTACAATCTCCCAGTTTAAAGTATTTGAGTTTTCTGATCTTTCTGTAACTCGGTGCTGCAGAAATTTTACAATTACAAATAAATAAATAAATAAGAACTTCGGGTGTTAAACATAGTTTTATCTTCAAAAGTTTTTGTTAAATTTGTAATATTTACAGGGTTAAGTTTGTGAGGAGAGGTGTAAAGTATAGTTTCCTCTTATGATATTTGTCAAAAAGACTGATGTTGTCATTGGAAAAATTAACTAATTTTATATTTTATTATCGTTTAAACACTTTAAAGCGTTAAAATATTTAATTTTAAATGAGTCTTAGCCTAAAATTTCTAAAAATTCCATCACAAGACACGGTAGCTTCTAACTCTAAAGAAATCATGGAGTGTAACACAATTTACATCACAAAATTAACAAATTTCGACTATTTTAATAGATTATAACATGAATTTTTACGTACAGTCTCAAATTTTTCCTTTTATTTCGACCAAAATTTATTATAAAATCAGGCCTAAACGACGTAGAAACGAATATGTCAAACAGGAGATTTCTATCGGTTCCGCAGTAAAGATCATCCCAATAGTCGCTGAGGATTATCCAAAAGTGATGGACTTTGGCTCAATCTATTACGCTTCCCTTCAAAACGGATCGGAATTATATCTGTAGCCCTATAATTTCTGTGCAGTGACTTAACATCTCTCTCCA